CCTTTCTTCTATCTTGAATCACCGCGAGACCCTTCGGTCTTCCTTTTTTTTTCAAATCAAATAAGGTCAAAATAAAAACAAAACCAAGACTATAAAGGTATTATCTTTGACTAAAGCTTCCGGTGAAATCTTCCGGTGAAATCTTCGGCCTCTGATGACTATGACTATGACGTTGGCGGATGACGGTGAACGGGGGCGATTATAAGGACTCCTATTGTTCATACATTTTTCTCGGTTTTTATGTGTATTTAAGGCGTATTGATTGTGTGTGACTTTTAATGATTAGTACTTATTTATATTAATTGAAAATGGTTTAGAGTTTGTTAGATTATCATTTCGTGCTACAAATCGACTAGAAAATCCGTTAGGTTTGCATTTACTAGAATCTTCATTTGTATTTTCGTTTACACAATTTTTTTGAATTTTTTTTTCATGGACGGCGACCGAGAAGAATGCACGTGAGAGTCATGCACTAGCGACGCACATGACCAATCGATGAATGGAAGAAGCTTTTAAACGAGGGTGTTTTCGACCATTGGATCAAATCTAGATCCAACAGTTAGGATGAATTTGATTTTATTTCCTGATGAGGTGACATAAATATTTGGAACAATTAGATAAATTTAATCAACGATTCACACGCATTTGGTTTTCTTCAATAAGATTGACGAGGTGACATAATTAATGCACATCTAAAAAGCTAGGCCCTCATTAACCATCCAGTTCAGTTGGTAGAGCACAAGGTTCTTAACATTGAGGTCGTGGGATCGAGTCCCACGGAGGGCATTTCATAATTCGGAGGTTTCCTACGGAAGCTGTTCTCAATCTGGTGTTGGAGACAGCCTACTATCTTACCTCCCCTTACTCCATTACATATGGGAACAATGGTCAACCATTTAAAAAGCTAGGCCCTCATTAATTCATGTTTGGTCGCTCCAAGCAAAGGGACGGCTAGGGTTCCTATATACTAGGATTTTTCTTTTTTTGTGTGTTTAGGTTTCATAGCGGGCTATAGAATGTAAACGGACTTAGGGTTTATTTGTTATAAATGAGCTTGAAATTTGTAAATGGACTTCATACATACATATATTGGACATTTTTAAAAACTGGGCTAACATATATATGGATTTAAATTTTAATACTAATATAGTAGGGACTATAATATATATAACATGGACTGTATAATATGTATATAATATAATTTATATGCATATATTAATGTCATCGCTCGGATAAAATGAGTGATGAGACAAAACAAAGACATAAGTTTTAGTCTAAAACTCTAGCCTAGCCCCGGAGGATTCCATTTATTTCGATTTAAGCCCAAACTTTTCTTTCTATACGAGCATACTTTATCTTCTTGTTATATTGTAATAATATTGTTATTATTTTTTATATAACAAAAAGAGGGAGAAGTAAGTCGCATTGAAAAATAATTCTTCAAAATGTTTAAATTATTTAAACAATTCACAAATTCTTTTATTATTTTTTAAAGTAAGAATTTTTTTCAAAGAGTTTTGTTATATTAAAAAGGGGGAAATTGTGAATTAATATTTTGATATAACAAATAAATTATAAAATTGATTTTTAGACTTAATCGAATTTGTCAAAATTTCTAAAAAGTTAATTCAAAATCCAAATTTACCTGAAAATATGTTTTAAATATTTTTCAACTTAGTTAAACCTTTTTCAAAAAATGTTTGATCGTTTTCACTCTTTAAAGTCAAGTTTCTAAGGTATTTTGGCTCAAATGATCGATCCTTTTGATTGAAAGATTGTTCTCCTCAATCAAAAGGATCGATCCCGTTGAAAATGGATCGATTCCTTGGATTTTAGTAGCATTGGCCAATCCCCGATGAAAACAATTGATCCCTCGATGAAAGCGATTGATCTATACCCTTAAAGGATCAATCTTGTGTGCATCAAATATTGTTATTTTATTATAGGTAACGACTATAACGAACCTCAATGACTCTAAAAGGCTATAATTAATAGATAATGTATAAAATTCAAGGTCAAAGCATCTCAAGGACAACAAGAATTTTTAGTGTGAATAAGGTTGAGTTGTTGTAAGGTTACACATTGTCCTCAAAGGTTAGTAAATCTAGTGGATTTGAGAAATCATTAGTGTGAATTCTAAGGTAGTGAATGTAGATTTGGTTTAGAAACAAACTACTCTAAATCGTTGTGTAATTTTCTATTTTTCGATTGCATCTACATAAATTTGAAAGGTCAATACGCCCCATCTTGACATATTTTTTAATTGATTGAAAGAGCTAATAAATACAACTCAACTATTATATTATTAGTCTATTTTGAAATTATGGTTCTTACATTATCATCATAATCATAAAGAGATATTGGGAATAGCTCACTAAATTGAGATGTGTGAGATGATAATAATTCAAATCATCAACATCAACATCAACTCATAATTTTTAGTGTATTTTCCCCCTCGATTTCTTCAAATGTAATATTTTTAAAACATGTTTATAGACGTTTGAGATTCAAATACAATGTCAATATCGATATCAATAATTTATCAATTAAAATGGACAATCAAGGAAAAAATATTATCAATGTTTTCTACAACTTTCATACGTAATTCAAATTAAAAACTCTATAGCTTTCATGTGTAAACGATCAATACACCACCTCTTGACATATTTCGATTAATTGAAAGAGTTAACAAATACAACTTCACTATTATATTATTGGTCCGTTTTGAAATTATGATTCTTACATTATCATCATAATCATCGAATGATATTGGACAACAACTCACTAGATTGAGATGTTTGAGATCCTAATACTTCAAATAATCAAGACCAACTAATAATTTTTAGTGTATTTTCTCCCTCAATTTCTTTCAATGTAATATGTTTAAAACATCATGTTTATAGATGTTTGAGATTCAAATACAATGTCAACATAGATATCAAGAATTTATCCATTAAAATGGACAATCAAGAAAAAAATTATTATTAATGTTCTCTACAACTTCCATGCACAAATCAAATTAAAATTTTTACAACTTCTATGTGTAAAAGGCCAATGCACCCCTCTTGACATATTTTGGTTAACTGAAAGCGTTAACAAGTACAACTCAACTATTATATTATTGTTCCATTATGAAATTATAATCTTACATTATCATCATAATCATCGAGAGATATTAGGCAACAACTCACTATATTAAATGTTCTCTTAAATTTCCATGCATAAATCAAATTAAAACACTTTCAATTTTAATTGAAAAATATATATAAAATATTTAAACTATAAACACTAAATATTGTAACACGTGCCCATTAAATTTATTATATAATAGTATAAAATTATAAAAAAATACGTATCAATTTTTTAACAATATATACTTAGGGGAAGAGAAGGACAATTGTGCTCCTAATTATATTGAACACACAATTCAAAATAGAAGAAATGTGTTAATTGAGAACTTTTAACCATCTGCTGAATAGATTATTAAAAATACATATCAACTATTAAATATATTACATATATAATCAAATATTCATATTAAAAATACATATTATCAAATATTTAAAAATATCAACTGCATGATTTATACTTTATTCAGTTATAACACATTCAACATAAAATAAATTTTAAATAAATATATAAAATAAATAATGTAAAACTCACATGAGATCAAATAGTTATCTAAAATTTAGTCTAAAATTCTCTTTATAAGATTAAATTTTACTAACAAAACTAAAATTCACACCTTTTTTTACGTTGTTTAAACTCACGCAAATGCTTTCACTTTAATATTTAGTTAAACTTATTTCAACTAAATTTTTTAAACAAAATTTTTCAATACTACTTCAAATATTTCAATATTACTTTACTAATTTTTTTAAATATTTTATTATCTTTAATTGATCTTATGACTTTAATTTTCTAATCAGATCATTACTTATCAAATCTTTACAAATACTTTCATTTATATTTCAAATCAAATAATCACATTAAAGAATTTGATTCATTTTCAGAAGTCATCAACACGAGAGATGATTTTAGAAATCAACACGTGAGATGATTTCGAAAAATTGTTTGTAACTGATGATAAGTTTAATGTTATTTATTCTTTTGTCATTTTTACTTTTAGAATATTTTTAACATGTTTATCCAATAAAAATCACTATCCCATATATTTTATTTATTCTAATCCCTAATTTACTAACTTTCACAAAATCATCGTTAAATTTAAAGTGTTAAATTCGGATAACAAACAAAAATTTGTAATATTATCCATAATTATTGATAAATCTAAAAGGTATTCTAGTATTGTAAGACAAATTTGTTTAAATAGTGTTGAAATTATTTTTTATATTAGGGTGTGGATGAAATTACTTTTTAATCTAATATGGTTGTTATAATACATTCTGATAATACGACATCTTTTCGCCCGAACGTCATGACGAATTTTTCCTAAATGTATATTGAAAGTTGATAATTTTTTAATACTACAACCTAATATCATGTCGTCATGAAACTAATAATTTATTATAATGAAGATTAAAATATTTTGTATATTATTTAAATATAATTTTTTAATTGATGGAGCCTAATATTTTTTTTATTTTTTCAAAAAAAATATTTTTTAATATTTGTTAAAAAATAAAAATAAAAAAAATTAACGGGAGTCAATGTTCTTCTTAACCCCACGAAATTTTGTCTCTATGTCTTCCGAATTTCTTCCTAAGATATAATATAATCTAGGTGTTTTTCGACAAGTATTATAACAATCGCATTAGATTAAAAAATTATTATGTTAAAACCTTAGATGACAATTTTTTTCTATCACTTTATCCAAAATAATTTACCCGTATAGTAAAAACAAGTTTAAATAAAATCGTGATGACGAGTTTAACCTTGACTGTATTTCAGTAAATATACAAATTGTTATTATTTTGGCTATATTTCGCCAAATAAGGCGTGAGAGTGGGGGTAGTGGAAGTGCTAAACGATTAGGGCGACGAGGAAAGTAAGAAAGCGGATAGGGCAAAAATAATACAACTCTCATTCCCTCTCTAAAGCTAAATCTCTTCTCCAATTTCCTTCTCTCTTTCTCTCAGGCAAGTGTTCTTTCTCTCTCTCTCTCTCTGATCTCTGTGTTTCACCCCCCTTTTTTGAACTAAATATAACGCTTCCTTTTGTTCTTCAAATTAATTACTGTATTCAGTAAATCCAGATCTTTTCTCTGATTCAAGCTTAAAAGATTCCCCTTTTATAGTTATTTTATTTAAAAAGATTCCGTCTTTCATTTTATTTTGATTTCTTCGCAATCAAAAATGGTTTTCTTTTGCTCTTTTGACTTCAAAATTCTTTATGATTTCTCCTGTTATGTAGAAGGAAAAAAGCAATTTGATTTGTTAGCTCTTTTTAGCTTTTTCCCCCCATTGATTTTGTACAATTTGGCTGTTAGATGTAGTGAACTAGCCCCTTTGAGAACAAAGTAGTATAATACTTGATTTTAATGAGAAATAAGAAATTTGGGTTTTTGTTTCCCGTTCTGTTCTGTTTTGCTTCCATTTTATTAATAGAAATGCATTGTTTTATAAATTGTGATGAGGAAAATGGTCTGAGGAAGATAATTGATACTGTTTAAGCTTGTTACAGCTCGTTGCAAATGGCTGAAGCCTCTAAAGTCATTCATGTTCGCAATGTTGGCCATGAAATTTCTGAAGTAAAGCTTCTTTACCCGTTTTAGCTTACACTCTAATGCTAACTTCTATGAAGTAATCAAAATAATTTCTTTTACCGGTCATGATTGTTTTTAGAGTGTATACGCCTCAATAAAGCAAACAAATGATACTTTGTTTCAAATTAAACAAAAAAAAGTTGAAATGTTTGTGCATTTATGAATTTCTATTTATATGTTCACTACTTTAAGTTTTACATTGACGCCACACTTTCCTGCCAAGTCTATTGCCTTGAAACAACATGACAAGAATATAGTCGTGCTAAGTGTCAACCGCCGTAGCTGCAATATGAATTTCCCTTCATTTCCTTCCTGAAAGCGTATATAAATTATTTAAAATAAATTATCTGGCAAGGGCTAGGTTATTATCCCGAAGGTGGTTTCAAGATGGAAAAAAACCGTATGTCTCCTTGCATTTATAGTTTCATGCTGTTAATTCAAGCTGAATTCATTACTTATATTAACAAGGAGAATGGAAATTCAATAGAGTTTATGTCAAACGAATGCACAAGAAAGGTCATTATTATTTTTTCTAATTTGGGCTTGAAATCTTCGAGCTGGAAATATATTTCCAGAGTTTTTATCTCTGGTTTTAACGGGTGATTTGTCTAGTCCAAAAAGAAGCAGTAGGATCATGTCCTGCACCTTGTGTTCTATAGTCTCGTTCTTGATTGTATAGTTCATATCCTTAATTTTAAAAAGTGCGCGCCTATAGTGTAGGGCGCATAAAAAAATGCCTCCAACGACTCCGCCTGTGTGAGGAATCAAAAGTTGCTTTTGTATCTTTTTTAAAGAGGCACAAGGCGCATCGCTTTTGATGCATTAGAGATAAAAACCTTCACCGTTCTTTTGTTCAGTGGTGTGAACAAGTTGTTCCACAATGGTTGCGGAGGAAAAGACAAGTGCAAGCTCTGCCACCTGTCCATGGCCTTTATCACCTCTCCTTAGCCTGATTAAGCCAAGAGCTTCCTTACGAGCCTACAAGGAAATATTAGAGCATTCAATTTGTTGAATCATTAGATGCTAAATACTATTAGATTTATTTTCTATCAAATAATACATGAGTGAACAAGTTATTCCACGTGGTTACCATCTATGGTTGTGGACTTAGTTTTCAAAAGCGTGCCAGGCGCAGGTGGGCGCAGAGAAAAACGCCTATAGAGAGAGAGACGAAGCGCAAAATAGGAAGCCCTCCTAGGCACGTGCTTAGGCTTCTTCTATGCATAGGCATAAGGCGCACGCTTCTACTGCCTTAAGGGTAAAAGATAGAGTTTATTTGCTCTTCCATTGCTTGTCTCTAATGAAAATTAAAACTACTGACTAGAAATAAATATAAACAGAAGAACAAACATTTTAGAGGCTGAAGAAGAGGTAGATAATGGTATATAAAATGACCTTTGAGATATAGTAAATATCATCTATAGTTGTTACATAGGCAATTAATGGTTGAGTCAGCTTAGATTAAATGACCTTTGAGATAATACAATGAATATCATCTACAGTTGTTACCAAGGTAATTAATAGTAGAATCAGCAGCACATTCTCTTAGTCAAACATGCCTGAATCTAGTTGGATGTGAAAGGATTAAATGAATGGTGGCTGGACATTCAATTAGGTTTAGCAAAGCAAGCATGTAAAGTAGAAAATGTAGGCCATAAGATGATTTTTGGCTCTTAACCATTTAAGTTTTTATATAGCTCCCAACCTAGTCGAGCAGATCAACACAAGCAATTTGATCCATAAAGGACTACCTGGGATCAGCCGTTTCAAACAAACTGACAACTTAGGTCAGCTTGCAAGAACCATAAACAACTCTCCTAACAACCTCCAACAGCTTGCTAACTTCTCAATAACCTCTTCAGCCAAAAATATACCAAATATTTAGTAACATCTTGAGAAAAGGACAAGCAATGCTGAAAGAACAGAGTGTGGCGAGAAGATTAAGTGTTTTAGGAGTGAACCAGTTAGTAATGGGTGTGAAAAATAGTCTAGAATTGATTTATAAACTTTTTAGCATAAAAAGTGCGCCTCGCCTACGAAAGGTGCTTGCCTTATGCTTAGGTTCCAGGGTCCCTTTGTGCTGCGGTGTGCCTAGCGCCTTTTAAAACTAAGGTTGTGGCTTGAGCCAAGAGATTCCTTAAAAGCCTGCAAGGAAAGATCAGAGCATTCAGTTTGTTGAATCATTAGATGCTAAGCACTATTTGATTTATTAGCTATCATATAATACCTGTGGATCAGTGAAATATACAAAAAATGACAGTCATAAGAAGTAAAATGAATATTAGAATATCATTGTGGTTTGCCTACAACCTTCTTGCGTGCTTCAGTGCACCTTTTAAAACCAAGTTCATATCAATGACGGGTCTAATTAAGCCTTTGAGATTATTAAAAGTAATGAAAGAGAAAAGGAAACTTATTATTATAAGGTTAACTACAGAAAAGATTATATATAAAATAAAATATATTTATATTTTTCATTACATTTTTATGAGATGTATATGCCAACTTATATCTTGCTTTTGGTCACCTTTTGGTAACTTCATTAGCCTTTTTGAGCTAATATGAGCTAGTCCTTTAGACATACCTATATTTGATTCCTATACTTGAGTCCATGCAGCATAGGCCACAATGAAAATGCATAGGTTTTTATCATGTGTAATTGCATTGCATTATTCTTCAATGACAAATGTATTTTATCAGATGTGTCTACTTTTGTTTGTTTCAGAATGATTTGCTTCAACTTTTCCAGCCATTTGGAGTTATAACAAAACTTGTAATGCTCCGTGCAAAGAATCAGGTTTTTACCTTCTCTTTTGGGATAGATTTAGTTGATTGAACTTGAAAATTTATCTGTACCTAGAGTTCATATGTTTATCATGCTTAATTGTGTTTAGGCTCTTCTTCAAATGCAAGATGTTCCTTCAGCCATCAATGCGATGCAGTTTTACACTAATGTTCAACCAACTATTAGGTATAAAAGTATTTTCTTTGTTTTCCTTGCACTCCTTATTTCGAAATCCTTTGCATGAATTTGTAATGTTACAGGGGGAGGAATGTATATGTTCAATTCTCATCACATCAAGAACTAACAACAATGGATCAGAATACTCAAGGACGAGGTGATGAGGTTAGTAAATTAGTATATTATTGTATAGTGGATGCATGATGAAATATAGTGATCGGATTTTATATTGAAAAACATTTTGAATGAGACCAATCATGTGTGAGAGTTTATATTATCTAAGCATTTGAAGACATTTTAGTTAATAACTGTGATTCGGGAAAAGGAACCATTTTAGTTAAATTCCCAATAGGAATAATGGTGGTTGCGTATGGGATAGTAGCTGTTTGATAAATAGGATACTTGTATAAAGGGCATTTTGCATCATATGTGTTGGTATTTCAGCTGAGATGTAATATGCAATCTGTTTAAGTTTTACATTCTGTTAGACTTTCTCTTTGCTTAGTTCAATAAATCCCACCTTGCTGTGGTTGATTTTTAAAAAGACTTTTTCTTTTGTTTTGATTCTTCTGTTTGGAATTTTAACCTTTAATTTCAAAATCCAGATAGGATTTCAACCGCTTTTGTTAAAATAAATCATAATCGGTTGCTTGTCCTGCGAGTTCTATTTGTTATACTATCCAAATTTAGGGTTATTGATATATGGGCAATGAATGTATTTGTTGCATAAGTGACCTCAAGTATGTACATATGATAGAACACTTTTGGCTTTCTTTTCTCTTGTCTGAGTTTCCTTGGTTTGTATATTCCTTTCCAATTTTAGTGTTATAAAGGCTTTTTTACTGCATATTCAGGGTTTGTTTCTTTATTCATTTAATTTCCTATTTATCTGCGCTTCTTATTATTCTCTTCTCATCTCTTCTCTGTCTGTGCTTCTCCATTTATACTCCTCTATCGTCTATCTCTATGCGGGTCTGCTATTGGGAACTCTCTGGATGCACAGCCGAATCGAATCCTCCTGGTTACAATCCATCATATGCTTTATCCTATTACTGTGGAAGTGCTACACCAGGTTTTCTCACCTCACGGATTTGTGGAGAAGATCGTCACCTTTCAAAAGTCGGCTGGTCAGCTTCAATTTTTCTTTCTTTCTCTCTCTTCTCTATTCAGCTGCCTCCTGAACTCTTGCACAATATATAGATGAACGGATATTTGATCTGTTTTCTCTGATAGGACTTCTTGTAAATAAATTTATGTTGATACAAGCATTCTAAGAAATAATTTCAAAGCTACGAAGTTTCTACACTTCCAATTTCCATCATTTTTGCAGTATTTTTGTGAATATTTTTACCTTGCATTTTAGATACATGGTCGTCAAAGAACAACTCTGAATAAACCTTTCTGTGTTTTCTTATCAAGTTTTTGCTCCCTTCATCCCGTTCATGCAAATTTTATAGGCTTTCAAGCCCTGATCCAGTATGAAGGACGCCAAAATGCTATCTCAGCTAGAACTTCTCTTCAGGTATTTTTGCTTGTATCATTCTTTAGTCACTTTGGATGTTAAACTCTAGTTTCAATTGGTGGTTTGCTTCTGTGGAGATTTAATTTCTTGCCATTTTGCAGGGTCGTAATATTTATGATGGCTGCTGTCAGCTTGACATACAGTTTTCTAAGTAGGTTTTATTATTATTATTTTTCATTCTTATTATTAAGTACCAATCATTCTATTATTGTCTCTAGGGCGTGCTGGTGTGTTAAAGTTCATTTGTTTGTTTTCTGATACTCTTTTTTTTCCTGATTAGGTTATACTTAGAAAACCATTATTATTAAGTTGTTATTGATTTTCTGGTTTCAGCCTTGATGAATTACAAGTCCATTACAATAATGATCGATCCAGGTATTGTTAGTATCCCACTTGGATCTCTTTAATATCTTGTTGACATTTTCATTTTGGTGCTTCATACACTGTATCCTCTCTCTTCCTAAAGGGATTTTACAAACCCAAATCTCCCAACGGAACAGAAGGGCAGATCATCACAGGTACGTACAATTTGTGCTATTTCCTTCTAACATGAGTCATCTACAGTGTATTTGCATGTCCTCAGCTATTTTTTGTAGTTTTTTCCTTCATGAATTTAATTTGGATATATTTGTCGCTGCAGCATCCTGGGTATGGTGATGCAGGAGGTATGTACGCCCCTGAGGCTCATGGAGAACCTGTACATAGTTTCTTTATTTGATTTTCTTTGTCAACTAAAACTTGTTGGTTTTCCTCTGTTTCAGTTGGATTCCCGCAGGTGGGTATTGCTCGGTTCATGGTCTAGATATAAAAATAGACGATACTTTCTGATCGTGGGGGTATTATCATCCTTTATGTTATTCAGCCAGATCAGTCAGTGTCTTCTAGCTAATAACCTCTTTTGTTACTGAAATTCTTTGTTTCTATATTCGTGTGATTAAATGCACCCTTTTTCTCCCTGCATGCCAATTTCTGCCCCAGCATGCATCTAGTTTTTGTAGTTTGGTTTATGACTAGCTACTATAACTTGCATTATAGACCCGGCAATAGAAATGCATTTGATCAAACTTGGATTGTGGATATTATTTGAGCATGCAACTGTATTTCCATTTTCATGGGGCTAGATTATTTGACTCGTGTCAAATCCGTAATATCTATTTATTTTATCTGTGAAATACCATCGATAACGTTTAACGATTGCATTTCCCTCCTCTTCATGAAATATAGATGGCTAATGCAGCTGCAATTGCAGCAGCTTTTGGTGGAGGTTTGCCTCCAGGAATAACTGGGACAAATGATAGGTGTACAGTTCTTGTTTCCAATTTAAACCCTGATGTAAGTTGTCATCTTCTTCTCCTCTCAATTATTGTGATTTTGCCACTCTTCCTAACATCAAGCTTGACAATTTAATATTTTCTTTTCAGAGAATAGATGAGGATAAGCTATTCAACCTGTTCTCACTGTATGGAAATATTGTGAGAATTAAACTTCTTCGTAATAAACCAGATCATGGTCTTGTTCAAATGGGTGATGGCTTCCAGGCTGAATTGGCAGTACATTTTCTCAAGGTTTAGCTTTTGAATGTCTTGAAATGTAGTTCTTGGATATCTAGTTCTCTTGGGGAAATATTATCAAGTTGATCTATTTAGTTTATGGCCATATGATTATCGACCACTAACACGCTTGAAATTTGAGTTTCAGGGGGCTATGCTATTCGGGAAGCGACTGGAGGTCAACTTTTCAAAACATCCGAACATAATACAAGGAGCTGACACCCATGAATATGTGAACTCGAATCTCAACCGCTTTAACCGCAATGCTGCCAAGAACTATCGCTACTGCTGCTCTCCGACAAAGATGATTCACCTTTCCACTTTACCTCAGGATGTAACCGAAGACGAAATCGTGAATCACTTGGAGGAGCATGGTGCCACCGTCAATACCAAGCTCTTTGAAATGAACGGTAAGAAGCAAGCCCTCATCATGTTTGAAAACGAGGAGCAAGCTACCGAAGCCCTTGTTTGCAAGCACGCAACCTCACTCGGTGGCTCAATAATCCGGATCTCGTTCTCTCAGTTGCAGACCATAAGAGTGAACTCACAGTAATAGTTTTACGGTAAGGAGTTGCAGTGGTACTGACATTAAGAATTCATTATCACCCAGGATATTATTAATTTCGGGTTTTAGGTTAATCTTTTTTTCTCTTTGTGTGGTTTTAACGCGTTCTAATTGCTTTTATGTTGCTGGATACTTCCCCTTGTTTCTTCATATTCATGTATTGTATGGCACTTGATCACTTTAGGGTCTAATAATATCAGGGTAGATTGTTATTATGCGGATAATGGCCAGTTTTTGAGGAGATAGGGAGAGAGGAACTATAGCTGCAATTGTGTTGTATTTTTATTGTAGGCCAGACTCTGGTCCATGCTTGTTTGTATCTGTATGCCGTATTCGATTGCATTTGTCTAGTGATTAAGATGTTTTATTCATCGATATGCCATCCGACCACCCCTTCTCCGATTTTTCTCCCTCCTTGGATCAGTGATGTATTTCATGATGCACAACTTAGACTTCGATGTCAGAATGCGTTGTCTTCAAATCAAAGAGGCTTCAGACGCGGCCCTAGTTGAAAATGTAAAATACCCAGATCAGCTTCGAGTTCAAATATCCAGAAATTGAGAGGCAAGATTGTCGTCAAATATGGAGGCGGGTGCTGCTATGAACTGAAGGCGTCAGTTATTAGGGACCTTGTACTACTATCTTGCCTCGGCCTCCGTCCTATCGTACTCCACGGGAATCAACGTCTTTCTTGACCAGCTTGATATTCCAGTTCATATACGTGATAGCGGATGCTAGGACAATGTGGTACTTGTAGGCCGTACATGTTTGCAAGTAGTCGGTTTGAAAATCGACTTAATTTGCTTGTTGATTTAAAAACTAATCAACTCGTCGACTTAATATCTCTTAATGAATCTGAAATCAAAACTGAATTATTCGAACTATATTAACTGTTTAGTCAATTGAACCCAATTTTGATCTTAATTTTTGTCGCTCCTACATGTCTCCCGTATTAGCCATGCCGTAGGCCTTTCGGTAGTCGATGACTGTCCTTTGGTGGTGCGGTTGAGGCCAAACGCCTCTCAACCAGATTTTGCCGGAGAGGTAGCAAGAGCCAACCCTGCAATCCTCGTAACATTACTCGGAAGAGGGAACATCCCTGTGATTGTTTCAGTGGCGGCAGCCGTACAACATCGACACAGTGGTTGACGAGCTGCCTGTTGTGTTAGGGGCGGAGAGACTGATCCTGATAATGGACTAGACAGACTTTTTTATAGACAGGGAGGACACTAAGAGTATGGTGAGCAAACTATACTCGAAAAATCAATTTTTTCGACTCGATTCGAGAAAATTTGACTCGAGTTGACTTCAAATTGTAATTTCATACTCGAAAAAATTTTAAGTTTAAATTAAGTTGTAAGATAAATTTCGAATAAATTGAATAGTAACTCAAATAACTCAAAAGTTTTAGTCATTGGTGTATTGATTTTAAAGTTTGGGTTGAGTCCCTCCAATTTGTATGATATATGTATATCACATATGAAAAATATATGAAGAAATATATATGTATTGTATATGTTTATAAAAAACTATTTAAATTAGAATAAAATATTATCATAATATTATAAATATTTACAATTAAATGTAAAATGAACTTAAAAAATTTGACTTGACCCGACTCATTAAAATAATTTCAAGTGAACTTCGAGTTGTAAACTATGACTCATCATCTCGAATAACTCAAAATTTTTTGATTCAATCGAACGTATACCCCTACTTAAAAGTTTAGTGAAGAAGATGTTGAAACTGCATGTTTGTATTAATTGGTTCGTGTATTATGCCACCCACTCCCATTTTATTAATTGCATGGAATGTCGTAAGTGGGAGTTAACCCACATTTTTGTGATTCCACGTTCTGAAATGAGTGGTTTTGAGTTATTTTTTAATGGAAAAAATCCCTATAAATACTAGATATAGCTGAGGTCTTCAAGTATCAAATTATTCAAGCATTTTCATATTCAGAGAGTCTGAAAACAATATATTATCTAAGTGAGGTTTTGAGTGCTTAGAAGATCCTTGACGGTTTTAGCTTTTGTACATCCAAATTTGAAGTGCTTGACGGTGGTTCGTGGTGGTTCATGGTGGTCTACGACGATCCGACGTATTTGACGGTTGTACAATCAAATCTTAGTTTTTTGCATAAGCTGTAAACAATGACTGGAAGTATTTATAACAATCCTTTTCTGTTGTGATACAAGCACGCCCTACTCCACTTGGTGAGGTAAGACTTGCACTTTGATTGTAGGACCTACGAAGGCAGCAAGTGTTCCTGAAATAAGAAGTCTTAAAAGAAAAATGGTTAAGTATGGAATGAATAAGTTGGTAAGATAAAAATGGCAGCGGAATAAATGAAGATGATGATATGTTTGAAAGGATTTAGAGAAGTATTTGTATGGTGGAATGATGGTATGGTTATGGTTAAGTTTATGAAAGAAAATGGAAGATGATGGTTGGTGAGGATAGTATCTTAGAAAGACCAAGGAAGAACCATGCTACAATGAGAAAAGACCCAGCCTTACAAATCTCTCTAAGGGATGGTAACAAAGTACTTGGACCCACTATCTATAAAGAGATAGGAACCACAAGTATCAAGGTGGATAGAAGATAGGTGACGCCACAAGCACAATAGCACTTGACAAGTCGATATAGTTCTTAAAGAACTAGAAAGAGAGAAAATCTCACAAGTTTTGATTAAACAAAGTTGGTTCTTTACAAAATGAAAGCTAAACTATTTATAGGCCTAATTATGTCTAGGATGCACATACAAGATTTAATGATTGAACATTCATGGATGAATGTTCATCCCTTAGGAAATACAATGTACGGTCAATGGTGAATGTATGATGAATTCATGAATAAATCTTCATGAATGTATCTTCATGGCTGAATCCTTCCTCCCATGTGTGAACATGTTGATTTGTATTCTATGGATGAATGCTCATGAATGTTTCTTGGCTGAAATTCTTCCCCCCTTTTGTGAACATGACTATTTGGCTTCTTGCATGAATATGCATGAATGGATGAACTTAAAAGCCTCTGAATGAAACCTTACACCTTCTAACAAATGTGCTGATTCATTTTAATACTTTCTCGTCCATGCATGTCTTCATTAATTCCTCCCATGCATAAGTCCTTTGAAGGAGATGAATGGTTGCAAATCCCGTATTAATTTCCAGCCTGCACTGTCTTCAGTAATCTACCATTAAAATAATGTTAAACATCCATAAAATCAACCCACCAAATAAGGTTAGTTCATGGTGGGGTTCGAATCATCCATGAAACAAGACATTAAATTTATATGTTCTAACAACCCAATATTAAATGGAAAATAACAGCAAAGGGGAAGGGAGAAGAAGCCTTCGACGCGCGCAGTCAGAGCTCTCCTCAACCACCACGACTCGCCTTAGCTTACTAGCTCCTCTCGGACGCCTAGCTCGGCTCTCCTTGGAGCTCGTAAATAGAGGAACACCACTAGAGAATGAGAAGAAGGATACGGAGAAGAAGGTAAGAAAATCTAGCTGAATGTGATTGATTCTCCTCCTTTTTTCTCTTTCTCATATTCGGTGTTTATAATAATGTAATATCTAAGGGTAATAATGGGTTTTAACTTTCCAATTACCCATCATACCCCTAGAACCACTTCTTAGATGTGAATCTTATCCTCCTAGGTGGTAGTGGTCCCCAGCAGACGTTTATAACCATCAGATACATGCCTTTCCAGCTATCATTATACAAAAAATATGTTTTTGTAATTTTCTATGCCAGAAATGCCAAGGCATTTCCATCAGCTTTAGCAACATGTGATGTCACGACATTCTTTCCCAGTGCAACCTTTTACTTGCTATTTGGCATAATACAACAAAATAACCCTAACATTTGATAGTAGTGTTAAATTTACCCGTACTATTATTTTTGGAACATTTGGGCACCGAACGTTTATTTTTGGGTTAAAAATCACCCAGCTTGGATGATTTTTGACCCAAAAATAAACGTTCGGTACCCAAATGTTCCAAAAGAAAACAATACGGGTAAATTTGACACTACTATCAAACGTTAGGGTTATTTTGTTGTATTATGCCTTGCTATTTCTTGCACAACATAAACAACTGCACATTTCCCTCACACAACATCTTTACTAGATAAAATATCAATACCATCACTAATGTAACTATATGCAACTACATGATCCTAAAATGACTAAAATGAGCTTTTAAACAAGCAATAACTTAAGTGAAAAAGGCCTTAAAAGTAACCTTTTTAGGAAGTTATCGCACCCCCAAACTTAAGCTATTGCTTGTCCTCAAGCAATGTATAGCAATTAACACAATCAAATTGTCATGGCAATTTTCAACAATAGGACAACAAGACAAAAATTGAATTTCAACCCTAAGAAAAATTGGCTTCAACATGCTAGACATATATAAATTTCAACCCTAGGTCAAGATTCTTCATGGTTGTGTGTGTGCGTGATTGTATCCGATCTATACTTAACAAATTTAAACAATTTTCTAATCAAGTACCCTAGTTTTGCCATGGCATTTACTCATTCATTAAGAACATTTATACTCCATTTCTACTTACTACAATTTTTTTTAATACAATGCTGCTACGAAGGGAGTCAGCTCATCACACCTGTATTCCCACACTCTAGGTGAAAGGGGGCATACCTTCCACCCCAAGATAGTTAAGTAGAGTCATCCCATGACTACTTTCATTCACTCATATACACGTGGCTACCATATATTAAAGAGAGTTTCAGGCAATGCTACGACAAAGAGGAGTGTCCCTCTACAACTATGTCATAGCATTTATTCACAATGTCAGATGTAAGGGAGTTATTTTTTATTTATCTTTCAAGCACAATACTAAATTTAAATGCCAAGACTAACTAGAGTTCCTTCATAAAAATTTTCTAAATTTCCTAAGTATAGAGAACATACAAATCGTGTAAGAATAATTCACAAAGCATCAATCCCTAGAGTCAGTTCTATCATTCTCAACAGCTATTTACATTCAATATTTAGCCTAACAAGTTCATCATCATTGGGTATCATTAAGACATTTTATCTAACTGTCCTACCAATTACTTATGACATGGCATAATGTTATGCTAATACTATCATGCACATGTTTTACAAAGAACACTACCTCCCCCAAACTTAAGGAAAACATTGTCCTCAATGCTTAAAGAGAACTAAAAGAAATAAAACTATATGTCATACAATGAAATGCAAAATGAATGCAAATAGATGTAAATGGAGGTACCTCATGT